TGCCAAAAAGAAAATAAAGTTTTAAAATTCTTCACTCAAAAAAAAAAAAAAAAAAAAGTCAGAAAACCTTCCTGGAACTCCATGGGATGTTCAGCGAGTGTAGACGCAGTGAACACAGTGATGTGATGGGATGGATGTTCTCACTCTGGGCTAGAAAGCTAACGCAGGAGCAAGACAGAGCAGTGGTGAGGGCCTTCGACCACCCCACGGCCCACAGGAAGGCAGGCTCACTAGGCAATGCAGAGTTGCTGGCCAGTGGATCCAAAAGCCACTGTAACTCTTTCTGGGTGTAGAAACCCTGCTCTTTCTCCTGCAGAGCGGAGGGTGGTTTGGAACTGCTGACCTTGCCGTTTGCAGTCCAGGGCGTAACTCACTGCGACCCAGGGCTCCTTTGGTCCATTGGCTAGACTGGAGGAAATGAGATGCATAAACAGAGAGACCAGACAAACACGTGGAGGGAAAGATCAGTAGGAGCCTACATCCGGAGCGTGCAGAGTGAAGAGCCTTCAGAAAAAGTGTGGGCCCTTCAGGAGGAAACAAATGGCGCCCAAGCCCAGAGGGGGTGGGGGCACAGGCAGATCTGAAACCCGGCTGTGCTTCCCGTGACACGTCCCATTTAGACAAGGATGAGGACAAAGATCGAGGGGAGGGCACGTAACCGAGGACAAACTGGGAAGCGCGACACGTTTCTGTGAGAAGGCTCCTGAACGGAGACTTGTAAAACAGGCTAAAGTTGGCGAGGGAGCCAGCGAGCAGAGTGGGAAGGGGGGGCGGGGTGTGGTGGGGAGTGGTGATTCTTTTCAGTTCTGATTCAAAAAGGGACCAGGCCCTTTCTTAGGGATCACGGCAGCATGTTAGTCGAGGCTGAGGAGGGGAGACCGCTCCCATTCATTTTATGTCTGTCCTTTCCAGACAGGGGCTTGGCGCTAAGGAGATTGCCAAAGACACTAGGCAAACTGCCCTGGACACGCCAGGAGGTGGGCGTGGTGCAGTGGCTGTGGGACATGGTAAGTGTATCCTTCTATCACTTGCCCACCACATCCCAGGACCCAGGATGAACCTGTGATTGCTAGAAGTTCCTGTCACACCAGCTTCCAATTAAACCTTCAGTAACATGCATCCGAGGACTGCCGGGTGCAAAGCCAGCTTTGGCATTGTGGCTGATGCTGATGACAACCTTCGGTTGCTATTCCTATGGTTTCCACGGGCCAGTCGCCAGCCCTTTCTTCCTACTCTGTCTTAGTCTGGAAGCTCCACTGACACCTGTCCACCTTGGCCCCTGCCGGTTTATTTCAAAGCCTGTGGCACAGCTCCGCGCACCGCAGCAAACATGAACCACCACAGGACACACTGGCAAGTGAGGGGTGGGGTGGGGGCCGGACACACCTATCAATGAGGTGACAAGGCCACAAGTGTGCAACCCCAAGACACCGGGGGAACAGTGGGGAGTGGTTCCCATAGACTGTTGTTAGCAACTGACCCAACCCGGGAGTGGTGAGCTGGGTGGAGTGGGTCATTTCTGTTGGGTAGGCCAACAAAGCTGGCAAGATCTTAGGCCAGAACATCGAATATGTGGTCTGTAAGCCCCTGGAAAGGATGAAGTGGCTATTGGGAGTTAGCATGCGTTGGAGAAAAGAAGCCCTGCCCCCCGCAGGCTCCTCAAAGGGGTGGACTGGGTAGGGCAGGCAGTATCTTGAAGACGCACGGAACAAGGACAGACGGTTAGTTCTGTCAGGTCCGTGACTGCCAGGCTGTCTGCCTTCTGGGTTGCTGGGCCCCTGTGTCTGGCCTTCAGCCATCCCCAACGACTTATGTGCTGGAGCGCACCAGGCTACCTCTGGCGTCCCTGCCTTTGCGGATCAAGTGTCCTCAGTTGAAAAGGGTTTTCTCTTCCTCACACCCCTCATCTGGTGGCTTGCCCTTCAAATAGCCCCTTTCTACTGCCCAGTATGATTGTAAGGCCCTTATCAGAGCTGGCCCAGCAGCTTGCATACTCCTCTATCACAGCTTCCCCGGGCGACAGCTCCCTTGTCAGGCTTCCCTGATGCCTCTGCAAGCTCCTGACCCCCCCCAACCAAACCCAGCACCATCTAGTCCATTCCCACTGCAAGCAGCCCTCTGCCGGGTTCTGAGGCTGTAAATCTTTAGGGGAGCAGGTAGCCTCAGCGGCCTTCCTTGGAGCAGCTGCTGGGTTTGAACCACTAACTTTTGGGTTAGAAGTCGAATGCTTTACCCAACAGTGCCACAGAGCTCTGTCATGAGCTCCTGAGAGGGTTTGCATCTCTTAAACCCAGCCCCTCATCGGACACCAAGAGGACTCTCCAGAACAGCCACAGCAGGAGTGAGATTTGCTGACAGCTTCAAAGTCATTCCGAGGAGGGAGTGTTTCTAACTGGGGTTTGGGGGGTTGTTGAAGTCTACACTTCTGTCAGCGACCTGGAGGAAAATATACATCCAGAGACTTCAAAAATGGGAGGAAAGATAAGACAAAAGGCTCCAGAGCTAACAATCTACAGGCTGGACATACAGTCTGCAATCCTGGATAGCTCTTTAGAGATGGATCCTCTTCGCCATACCAAAGGCCCGGGCCTTGTCGGTCTCTCAGTCCTCTACACAGGTCATCTCGGGTAACACATCCCAGAATATGACGGGATTGCTGTATAATCTACATTTATGCAGCTGCTACAGTTCGGACTATCCACAGCTAATGAAGATAACTCATTGAATCTGTCTCAAATTCTCATTGTCCTAATTGTGTCTTGTAGTGGAGTACCAGCAAGCCATTTATGACTCATGTTCATTTATGCTTCAAAACTTTATGGTCACTCTGTGTAAAGATACCTAACAACTAATACAACAAGGTTTTAATAGACATAATCATAAATTTTGTTAGGTATTAAACATAGCTATAGAATGGGGAATATCTAGCCCCATCCACTGATTTATCCACCTAACCCCTCACCCATCCATCCATATTTATTGAGCCTTCACCCTATGTTCAATACTGTGTGAGACTCTGCCGATTTCATGGAAAATAGACGCGGCTTCCCTAGTGGGGTGGAAAAGGTAAATAAGCAGGTGGGTGGATCCAAACGCTGACCAGGGCCTCACATAAAAGAAGATAGGATGTGGCGGGGGTAAGAGACAAGTTTGGGTGAGAGCGCATGTGGATGCATTTTGAGGCTCGCAGGGAGTGCGGGGAAGAAGGGTGCCCTGCGGTTGGCTGTGAAGGTAACTGTGAGCCTGGCGGGTGTTGATGGAAGCTGAGGGGTGAATTCAAGGGTGGTTCCTCTTCTGGTCCCATCACTTCTAGACCAACATCTGCCGTCCTTCGTCGGGGAGTCCCATGGTGGTGCAAAGGGTTAACACACCTGGCTCCCACTAAAAAGCTGGGACTTTGAGGCCACACAGAAGCACCTTGGAAGAAAGACCTGGTTCTCTTCCAGAAGACAAGCCATTGAGAACCCCACGGAGCACCATCGTGCTCCGACTCACACAGGCTCACCAGGAGTTGGCGCTGGAACGCTCTGGGGAGTCCGCGAGTGGATCCAAAAGAGGGGTGCTGAGCCACAGCTCAGGAGGCCAGGCCGAGAGAACTAGGGACGTTTAGGTTGCAGAAGGGACCACTAGGCTTCCATCCTTGGAATTTCTGAAGGCGCAGGGTGTTCTGAGGAGAGTGAGCTCATTCTGCATCGTTCGAGGAGGCCAAACTTGAACTTCTGGGAGCAGAACCAAGATAGCACAGTGTAGTTCACACAGAGGGGAGAAGTCTCTCATAGAATGTGAGCGATACAAAAATAGGCTTTTTGGGAAAGCGAGTACCCCATTTTGGGGATTGGTCACATAGAGGCTGCTCAAAAGAATGATGAGATATTGGGCCAGAGATATTTTTTTAAAACACAGCTGTGGAGACAAGGGTGCAGGTTTTTCCTCGTTTGCTTCTCTGACCCAGAGATTTTCTCATGTTGGGACGCCAATCATCTTAAAATACCTGAGCCTCAAGCCAGTTGCCCAGTGCAATGCACTCTCCTGCCTCCTAGGCCAGTGCTTCTCAACCTTCCGAATGCCGCGGCCCCTTCATACAGTGCCTCATGTGGTGGTGACCCCCGACCATAAAATTATTTTCATTGCTACTTCATCCCTGTCATTTTGCTACTGTTTTGAATTGGGCGATCTCTGTGAAAGGGTCGTTCAACCCCCTAAGGGGTCGCGACCCAGAGGTTGAGAACCGCTGTCCTAGGAGCTGGTGCTCCCTCGGCTTTGCGACAAGAGGCACCTGGCCATCTTTAGCAAGGCTTCTCTCACCACGAGGCTTCCCAGAGCCTCCCCTCTCCTGGCCTCAGCCAGCAACAGCGCAGGTGACAGGAGAATGGGTTCCCGAAGGCCAGCTCCAGGGTTGGACGTGGCCTCTACTCACCAGTTCAGCAAAGACCCGCCACAAAGCAAAGGGACCAGGAACCACGCCACAGCTTCACGTGACAAAGTTCCACGAGAAACCATTTCACGACACATTTAGTCGTGTGTGTGTGTGTGTGTGTGTGTGTGTGTGTGTGTGTGAGAGAGAGAGAGAGAGAGAGAGAGAGAGAGAGAGAGAGAGAGAGAGCACACGCGCGCACACAAGCAAAGCTCTCTGAACTCCCCCGTTCCAGGAGCCCGGGTGTCATGCTCAGTTATCTCTAGCAGACAGGTGTTCCATGTTCTGTTCCAAATGCCTTTGGAAGGCTGGGTTTCTGCAGAAAGACTGAACTGAACTTGGAAGCCTATATGGCCAATTTAATCACTCAACTTAATCACTTTATGATTACGATTTGATAGTAGAGCAATTCTGTTTGTACCCATATTTGGTCTGCTGGAAGAGAAACTAAATCAAACCCATTAAGATTAAGGCTTAAGGCAGTGATTAACTGGAATCACAGACTGCAATGTTTTTCATCCATTTACCTTGTGAATAAAACATGTGTCAGAGAACATGAGCGCTAAGTGCCGCGGACAACCCATACCTGAGCCGCAGACAACAAAGACAAACAGCGCCAGCAGCCACGGTCCGACGGGGTACTTCTCCTCTTGCGGCCTCTAAAAGAGAGTGGGAAACAGCAGATTGCCTTCATTCATCCCAGAAACATGGACTGCATCCTGCTACACACTGGGCATCAGACGCGGTCGCCACCCTCAGTGGCGTTAGTGGGGCAGAGAGATAAACAAAGCCAATGAGAGGACTGTGACAGGTTTGTGAACATCCACCAACGGTTTCATGAACACACCTGCAACTCAGGGAGCGGTTTGCGTTTTCCCACTAGCCTGAAGCTTGGGCGTTTGGGCCCACTGAGGACTGCGGTGGGGGACAGGGCCAGCAGTCTGCTTCTCTCCTAAGAGCAGCTCTGCTCTGGAAGACCCGGGGGTCGGCCTGAGTCAGCACTGATGTCACAGCAACGGGTTTGGTTTCGGTTAAACTCGCTGAACCTGGCGGTCTGAGATTCAGGGACAGATGGAGTCTAAATACATATACGGCGCTTTTGGAGCCAAAAACATCATGAATGGTAATTGCTTCCATTTGCTGAAAGCAGGCTTTGTGCCCGTGCGGGGAGGTGCGGTTTTATATGGCCCTTTGCCTGAGTTCAGAGAAACAACAGCTTGAGAGAATTTGCTCCTAAACCCCAAGGAGTTACCTAGTTTTGTACCCCAGTGGTTGGTTTGTTTTTCTTTTTAACGTTGGCCAGGTTGGTTGGCTTTTCCAGGAGAAGCTGTAAACAACCTGGTTTGATTCTGTCTACCTGGGTCGGACTGCAGCCTGTCTTGTGATTGGTCTGTACCTCAGTTGACAGACTGCAGATGAAGCGTCAGTTTTGGTCGGTGTGTGACCTCCTGCTGGGAGGGGCCCTGCCTGGACAGTGATAGGAGCTGTCCATATAAGTAGCCAACCCCACGGAGGTCTTCGGCTAGAAAGCAGCGGGAAGCAGCAGAAGGCAGAAAGCAGAGCGCAGCAGAGAGTGGAGGTAGGGAACCTGTGATGTGGGTCATGGGCTGTAACACTGGCAGGCCCAGAAGGGACGCTTTGCCCTGAAGGGGCTGAGCAGAGCCCACCCTGAGAGGATCCAGAAGAGCCTGTCCCCAGGGTTCTGAGAGGAACCATGCTTGAGGGGACTGAGAGGTTCTCTCCTCCGGAGGTTGAGAGGAGATGGGGGAGTTCTTGTGCATGAAGAAAATGGCCACTTTTTTTTTTTCCAGTTGATACTTTTTTTCCTTTTTTTAAAAATCGTTTTATTAGGGGCTCATACAACTCTTATCAAAATCCATACATACATCAATTTTGTAAAGCACATTTGTACATTCATTGCCCTCATCATTCTGAAAACATTTGCTCTCCACTTAAGCCCCTGGCATCAGGTCCTCATTTTTCCCCTCCTTCCCTGCTCCCCACTCCCGAAAATGGCCACTTCTTATATGCTTCCTGACCTTGATCCTGAATGTAGTCTTATTGATTCTGATCCTAAGTTGTGCTCTCTTGCTTCCTAAACTACTCAACTTGAAGTATGGCCCATTGAGTTTGTGTGACCACTGTCACCGACTCTCAAATCCAGAAGAGAAGCCGACGGTGCTGTGGGGGAGGGCAGAGGTGTGTCCCTCATCGGGATCAGCCTTGGGCTGACCTTGATTCTTCTGGTTCCCCAGGAAGGTGCACAGGCTCTGACACTGTTGCTGCTGCCACCGCGCTTCAGGCAGGCATTCCACTGGGCACCCTACATCCATTATCTGAGCACTCAACACCTCTGCCAGGAATTTATTAGTGACTCTGCTTGGTGGTTGAGAAACTGAGGCTTTACGTTCTTGTTCACGTGAACAAGAGTCGAGGACAGAGCCAATGTGTGGCCCACTGATTCTCACAACCACGATTTCCAAGCAGGATCACAGAACGCAGCGGCTTCTCCAAACCTTGCACCCAAGAAATGAGTGGGCATCAGATGCAGTGGGAATCCCCAGCACAAGACCCAGAGTGGATGAGAGGGAAGTGGCACTTCAAAGTGAAGTTCATGGGCCCTGGGGAAGCTTCTACTATGGAGCAATCCCCCTGTCCCCTGGGAACCAGGAAGGACAAGGGAACCTGCATGAACCTAGCCCAGCCCACCTCCTGGGCCTCTGAGACAAAATGTGAATGCGCTACCACCATTCCTCTGGGCCTGTTTGCCAACAGGCTTTGAGCCTTTGAACCAAATCAATCTATGGAGGACATGTCTGTTCCAAGACTGGTTCCAGTAAGCGAAGTGAGTTCCTTGAATACGCAAGCAAAGGAAGAGAGTAAATAAAATAAAATAATTCCTCCAGCAGATCCTCATTAGCCAGAGCTAAATCTAGGGTGTATACAGACCTGCCTCCTCACTCTCTTGCGTCACCTTCTTATCGATTTGACAAGGTTGGCCAGAAACCAATTTGGTTGCTGTCGACCTGATAATACTGTATCAAAACCTGCTTTCTTTTCGCTCCGTCGCCAGCCAAGTGAACAAGTGACTGCAGGAGTCTGCACATTCATTATTGGTCTAGTATCTAACAGAACTCTTATTTTTCATCTGCAGGAAAAGAACACATTGTGAGCGTGCAGAATTCAGAGTGTTGAACACAAAAACTTCCTTGGTGGTGCTCCCAATGAAGCAGTATTCTCTCGTCGTTCGAAATACCTGACTGATGATAATAATACCCAGCTCGCTTTTTCGGAGCGCCTTCGGTGAGTTTATTTTATTTTGGAAGAGATGCTCCTCACAGCCCCAGTGGGAACAGTACTCACAGCTGGAGTCTGCTGCCGAGAAAGGCAAACAAAGCAATAGCAATTCTGCAAGTGACCAAACCCACTTTCATCAAGCCGATTCTGTCTCACAGCGACCCTTTTGGGCAGAGTAGAACGATCCTGCGGGTTTGTAGCACTGTCGATCTTTACGGGAGCAGAAAGCCTCATTTTTCTCCTTGGGAGCAGCTGGCAGGTTCGAACTACTGACCTTTTGATCGGTCAGCAGCTCAATGCTCAACCCACTATGCCACCAGAGCATTTCCCACTTCCTGAGAATTCAAAATATCAGGATGGCTTTTTCTGTGGTTAAGATACTAGCAGAAGAATCCAGAACTCTGAAATTCAACCTCCCTTCTTCTGCAATTCTGGGTAGCTACTACTTTATATCATAATTTCTCTGTTTCTTGGATTTTTCCGCTATTTGGGGGAATATTGTAATTTCAATCCATAAGCAGTCAATTCTGCCTCATGGCAACCCCGTGTGTTTCAGAGTAGAATGGCCCTCCATAGTGTTTTTTCATGGCTGGGACCTTTTGAAAGTGACCACAGAGGAGCCTGTTGGGGGGTGTGTGTGTGTGTGCAAACCATCAACCCTTCAGCCAGTCATCAAGAGTGTAACCATTTGTCCACCCAGGGGTGATCTACCCTAGAGCTCAAGACAAAAATACTAATGCATCTGCGTACAATTAAAAGAACAGTTTATTTCTGAACGATGAGTGCGAAGTTTCCGTTTGGAATCTGTTTACATCTCCCTACTTTTTGAATTTCACCCTGTGCAAGTTGTCTTTGGAAATTAACTCCTATCCGTGTATAATCATGTTTGCCCTGTTGTTGGGAAAAAATGAAATTTAGGTTTCATGGGCTTTTGTTTTAGAAGAGAATTTCAGGTCACATATTTGGGTGCTGATCTATTTACAAGCAAGTTAAACAAAAAGTCCCTCCCACCAGCTGATCTAAACATACGTTGTGGCTGGTTTGGGAACCTCTCACTATAAGTTTAGTGGGGCTGCTGAAGACCCTCATCGGCGCCAGGCGGTTTCACAAGGCCTGTCCCAGAGTAGAGCACAACCTAGTCAGAGAAAATGTACCCTTAACACATGGAACATACTTTCAGTGTAGCTATGGGAATTTTCAATGACTAATTACATTTTCTGGCCACATAGACAGATTCACCCCTAATTTTTCCATTTCTTTGTGATATTTTGGAGCCCAAACTTTGTAATCGCCTTGGAGGGCTTGAAGTCTACAGAGTCTAGTGGCTAAAACAGCCCACAATGAGTTCTTTTGTTGCTTGTGTTGCTGTCAGACAAATGTTAACAGTTCAGTAAACAGAACCCCTGCATTAAGGATGTTCGATGTGGCCACATTTGCTGCTACTAGGTCATTTTTGACTCAGTCTTCGGGTGGGTTCTGGTCACCTAACTTTCAGTTAGCAATTCGGCACGTAACTACTGTACCCCAGGGCTCCTTAGATGTCAGCTATGTGGATGACACACTGGCAAGATTTGATCTCTTAGGGATATCAACGTCTGCAATGGTTTCATATCAATTGAAAGATTTTTTTTTATTGTAAATTTGGACACCGTTTTTCTCTGAGCACAACCCCCCCAAACAAACAAAAAATTAAAGCCCCCACTCACTCTCATCGAGTCAATTTTGACACATAGTGACCCCCCTACAGGGCAGAGTAGAACCCTGAATGTAAGTAACTCTTTAGGGGAGTAGAAAGCCACATCTTTCTCCCTGGAGAGGCTGGTGGTTTTGAACTACTGACCTTGTGGTTAGCAACCCCAAAAGGAACCTAAACTGCCACCAGGGCTCCTCTACAAATATTCAATCTCAAACCAAACGCACTGTCACTGAGTTCATTCCAACTCACAGCCACCCTCTAAGGAAGACTTACATTTTCAGGAGAAATCTTTTCCATTGAAATAGCACCTTCCCATTTTGGCAAACCAATCATAACGAAATGGTCGGAGTCCCAAATGAGTTTTAGGAGCGCTTACACCTGGAGCTGAGCGTGTATAGCTCTGAGCAGAGTTTAATGCTGAGGCCTCTGCCACGTGCCCTTGGTTTTGCAGGAAGCCTGGCACAATCCTTGCAGGTCCAACTTTGGTTGTTGTTCAGTAAATCCGACCAGCACCATTTCGTTGGCCAAGAAGAACTGATTTATCAAGTTAGAAAGCTCCCCTCACCCCCACTAGCCAGACCTTTGAGCTGGACAGCCATTTGAGTGTGTTGTTGTGTTGTTGTTAGATGTCATAGAGTCCATTGCGATCCATAGCGACCCTATGCACAACAGAACACTGTCTGGTCTTACGCCATCCTCACAATTGCTCCCCTGCTTGAGCCTGAGTGTTTGGGATAACACATCCCAGGTGCCTTTGCGGGCAGACTGGACACCAACACCGCCCAACAACTCACCCACTCATGCCTCTGAATGTTCAAAGGCCGGACCTGCCATCTTCGGTTAAGGACACTGCTCTGCTACACCAATCTCCTGTGTGTAGGACACAGGGTAGACATACAATTCTAGTTACAAAGCATTAACCAACAGCTTGGAGGCACAGCCTGGCCTGAAACTGACTTCTAGAACTGGGGTTATACCTGCAGGAAGGGCCCAGATCCACCAGGCCAACAACATTAACCCTCGATATTTAAACCTAGCCCAACCCAGGGTGGGCAGCCTCACTGGTGAAGCCCTCCAAGGGGAGGGAGATGGGAGTGTGTGTGGAGACGTGGGTCTGAATTTCACTGCCCACCCTGTGCCCTTTCACCTAGCCAGGCGGTCCAGCATGAAGGGGCTGGGTAGAAAACCATATTGAGGTGAATGTCTGTCTGTGGGCAACGATGGAGGGGGTGTGGGTGGGGTGTCTACAGGAGAGATGACAAATGGCCTCCGCTTATCCTTTTATTCATTCAACAAATGTTCTAGCACCTACTACCTTTCGGGGCTCTGTGTCAGGATGTTGGTTTCACTGTCTGGCCATCATGTGGCTTTTCATCTTTCTAGGGGCGATGGCCCACTCCCCCAAGGGGAGCTCCCAGCACGCTTGCAAGATACCCCAGGAAGCCACTCCCAGAGGGGCCACGACCAACCAGGGCCCTCTGTCCACGAGGACACCACGGAGCCCGCACCCGCTTTCAGGCCTGAGTAGGGACCGGGCAGGAGGGGCGGGCAGGGGGCCAGAGCAGCGGCTGGGCCCCAAGCTGGCCTCTGGCCGCCGGCCCCGCCCCACCGGGCGCGCCTGGCCCTGCTGGCCAGCGCTCCCCGCCTTACCAGAGTTTTGGCTACGTTCCCCCTCTGGGTGATGTTCTTGCTGTGCTTCTCATTAGCCATCCGGATCCGCTGCTTGGCCACCATGGCTTAGGCGTCCGGAACGCGTTCCTCTCCCACCTGCAAGAATCCCCGCGTCAGCCCCTCCGACCAGGCCCGGCCGGCGCGTCCCGCTCGCCCGGGCCGCTGCAGGTGGCAAGGCGTGGCCGGAGCCCCGCGCGCCCCAGCAGACCCCCGCGAGCCGGCTCTGGAGACAGGCCAGAGCCCGGACGGAAGTAATCTCTCATCGAAGGAAACCCTCTCCTACTTCCTCGTTATCCTTCCGGTCCCCCCAGCTAACTAACCAGCGCGGCCACCGAGGCAGGCGCCGCCGCGTCCTCCCCGCACCCCGCGGCCGCGGGCGCGCAGAGCGGGGACCGGCAGTGGCGGAATTCGGGGCCGAACGCCGCGCCGCTGGGGGTTCGGGCCGCGCGGGCGTTTGTGCGCGGCTGGGGGCGGGGGTGATGCGCGCTGGAGGTCTTCAGCGGAGACCCACCCCAAGCCTGGGAATGGACTGGGGTCACCTCGCTCCAGGCCGGACCAAGCGGTGGCCCTGGAGGAGGGTTAGACTAGAGGCCACAGCGGGGACCTCAAATGACAAGTCGGGACAGGCCTGTGTTCTTGCGGGGAGGGGGTGGGGGGTACCCCTTTCCAGGTATGTTACACGCAGGAGGAGACAAACCTGGCTCCCTGGGGGATGGGGCAACAGGGGTGTGAGGATGGGGTTGGGACAGGCTTTGTAGTTACAGGGGCCGCAACTGGAAGGTGAGCCAGCGCCACGAGCTCCCTGTGAGTTCGGATCCACCCCCAGGCTGTGGTTTGGCCCCCACTTGACCGTTACCTTCTTCAGCCTTGGCTCTTGGCCTTCTCCATGTGAGGCCTAGCCTGCCTAGCCTAGCCACGGCCCAGTTTGCCTGCAGCCGAAGTCGAGTGCCGGCTCTCCGGTGGAATCGCTCTGACTCCTGGTGACCCCACCCTGGTGGGTGAGGGTACAACAGTGCACCCTGAGATTTCAAGGCTGATTTTTCAGAAGTAGATCTCTTTTGAGGCCTCTCAGTAGACATGACCCTTTCAGTTAGCTGAGCACGGTATCCATTTATACCAGCCAGGGACTCCTTTTTCTGCAATAGTGGATTAAAAAGTACAGTAGATGGTTTATTTAAGGGCAGCACAGACCCTCACACTCGGCCACCACAATTGCCTAGTTATGGGCCTGTGAGAAAACTGGGCTCAGCCCTACTCGTTTCCAAATGCTGCAGTGGCTGGGGAACAGCTAAAAGACTTGGGGTGGTGGGAGGTGATGAGCAGGCCTGCTGGTGGAGGCAAGAAGAGGTGGTTGAGTTTTAGACCAGCTTTGGTATAAGTGCCCCCAGCCCTTCTCTTATAGAAGTCTGTGGCTGGGTTTCTAAAGGGGATTGTGTGGGTAAAAATCCTTAACTCGTGTAGGAAGCTAGGGACAGCTCTCTCCTTGGGCCCCTTCAGTTCTTGCTTTAAGGCAGTGGTTCTCAACCTATGCGTCGAGACCCCTTTGGGGGTCGAACGACCCTTTCACAGGGGTCATCGGATTTATAACAGTAGCAAAATTACAGTTACGAAGTAGCAACGGAAATAATTTTATGATTGGGGGGTGCCCACAACATGAGGAACTGTATTAAAGGATCTAGGCATGAGGAAGGTTGAGAACCACTGCTCTAGGGGGTAGCTTGGGATAACCCAGAAGATGACCCGGCCACCGTGGCTCCTTAGTAAGGGCTGATCATTCTAGCTACAGGTCAGTTTAGTCTGAAAACCAGTGTCCCTTGGTTTCTTAATCCTTGCCAATAACATCACTACCGTATCATAGCCAGGGCTACCACCCCGTTGGCCCAACATTGGTCGTATGTGTTAATACCTCTGATTTTTATTTTTTAAAAGTACATTTGTGTGTGTGTGCGGGGGTGGGAGGGCATCCTTACCTCTGGGCACTTGCTGAACCTGACTATGGCCTGAGGCTCAGAATGTGCCTCCCTTCGTTTTACACCCAGATTCCCAGGCAAGAGGCTGAAAGCTCTGAGGAACAGGAAGGAAAACCCACAGGTAGCAGTTTTCTTCTTTGTCCTTCAAGCAGAAAACAGATTCTTTCCTGAGAGAAGCGCCCTGCTCCCTCCACCCCCGCACCCCAGCAGACTCAGGGAAGCTAGTTGGGGAAAGGTTATTTCTTGACGTCATTCCTGGACTCTTGACGTGGACCAATTTTCCTGTTTCCTCCGCTGTTCTTCCCTCGAAGGACATTTTTAGTTAGTTTTCATTACAAGCAGACGGCATACTCTCAATAAACAATCAGATAGAAACAAGGCTCTCAAGTCAAAAGCATCATAAGGATCTCCCCTTCCTTGCCTCCCCGCTCACCACTTATGGCCACGAATTAGCCCCACCAACAAGTTCTGGCTTCCCTTCCAGATGTTTTCTGTACATATACAAGCCTTTTTGCACAAGTATGCTCTCTCTCTAAAAATAATGGAGTCATATTCTATACCAGGAGTAGGAAACCAGATCTGGCAATGCTTTAGTGAACTTTCTTCCACATACATTTCTATGTGCTTGAACAAGCGTATCTAAAGCATATTTATCTGTCTGCCATTGAGTTAACTCTGACTCACAGCGATTTCAGGAATCAGAGTAGAAATGTGCCCAACATTATTTCAGATACGGAGAATTCAGTGATTTACCCCACAAAAGCTTCTGCCTTTGGGGGGGCTCTCAGTGGGGGAGATAAGAACACCTTGAGATTACTTCCTTAATTTCATAAATGAGCAAACGCCTCGGAAGCGCAATAGGAATTGCTGCAGAACAGGGCGCCTGACTTCCTGCTTTCTCAAAAGTAGCATTTACTAGATTGACGTGAGTGGAAGCCAGGGTCCCCCACAGCTGAGCTCTGGTGCAGGTTGTGCATGCATAAGAAAGAAAATCACACACACACACACACACACACACACACACACACACAGGTGCGCATACACATACAAACCAAAGATAAACTAAAGGCACTGCAGATTTCAAAGGCATGGCCTTTGCTCCGTACATGGTGGTGGCACAGCCATTCTTTAACCATTCCGACGACATCTGGGGAATTCCTCGACCCTAGAGTTGATCAGACGAAGCTTGAAAATGCAAGAGGTGATTGCCCATCCTTGCCTGGCCACTTCTGTTATTCTTAGGAAAAACCATCCTATCCCTAGGGAAAACCAGGGTCTGCATTAGGACTTCTCTAATGACCTCTCTGGGCAGTTTATGCTGCAGCCAACAGGAGGGGGCCAGAGATGGGAGGCCCTTCCACAGGGGAGAGCTCACGTTAGGGGCTGGGTGCCACGCAGCACTGTGCCCTGCTGAAATGTCGTTGGCTATTTCAGGACAAAGCCATCTTGTTCCACTCTAATCATCTACGTGTTGTTAGTGCTGCACCAGTTAACTCATTAGGAGAGAAATGACAATAACAGTAATAATAGCCAGCATGGTAGTGTAGTGTAGTGGCTACAGGTTGGGTTGCCATCCGAATGGTCTGCAGTTCAAAACCGCCAGCAGCTCCTCTGTGCTTTCTACTCTTGTCAACAGTGACAGTATCAAAACCTCACAGAGGAGTCACTATGAGTCAGCCTGGCCTGGATGCCAGTGAACTTGGTTTTTGGTGAGGAACCCTGGTGGTGCAGTGGTTAAGCATGAATGCTCAGCTGAGAACTGAAAAAATCACTCATCTGAGCCCACCAACTGCCCAGGAGGAGCCTGTGGCAGCCGGCTTTGGTGGAGATGTGCTGCTGGGGGACTCCTCTGGGCAGTCAGTTCTCCTCTGTCCTGCATGGTGGCTACAAATCGGAATCAACTCAAGAGCAACAGATTGTCTTTTTGTGTAACTTTTTCTTGTCCGTTGCACGAATATTCACCGAGCAGAGCATCCGTTTTATGCTCCAGGGCTCATCCCCATCTTGTTTGATCGCCTTCATTGCAACCCCTTCAGGGGGCCATCACTTCGCCCACTTCTTCTCTGCTCCCCAATTCACTCCTTCTTTCCCAACTAACCCTTCAGAACTTTGTCCTTTGAAAAGCAAAACACAAACAAACCGCAATCAGACAGGGTAGTAAATGCTTCCCGTTTGCTTTCTCCTATTGCAACCCTGTCTGGATGTGAGTTCTGGAGGCGGACTGATTATTCTGACTCCTCCAAGCATGAGTTTGATGCCGGGAACCGCTGTCCTCCTCTGTAAAATGGAGGCGATAGCAGTGTGTGAGGCTTGTTTTATGCTCAGAGGGAACAGTCCTGGTAAAATCAGTGAGCACGGAGCCTGGCCCCACGGTGACCACTTAACAAATGTCAGGCACAGCTAGCTGTAAGTACCATCTCCTTTTAACCAGAGAGGAAGCTGGTCTCCACAAGCCAACTCACTTGTCCCGAGAAGGCCAAAGCTAAAGAGCCTTGGCCTATAGGGAGCTTGAGGTCCACCGAGCGCAGGTAAGAACGAAAGAGCACAAGTGGCCATTACATTCGGGCACAGGATTTGTGGACAACCTTGCTAAGTCATTCCTTCTTTGGAATTGTTTTAAAAATCTCGTTAAAAAGTCAGAAATTACTAGAGAAAAAGTGAAAAAAGTAGGACTTATTAACTCCTGGCCCCAAATTCAAAGCAACCTTTGTTACCTATTTCTGCATGTGCCTTTCTGTGTATATTCAAGCACAGGTCCATAACATATTCTGATATATGTGCATATATTACATATGCAGATTAATGTGTAATATGCGCACCCGTGCTCTTAAAAATCACAAATTGTATTTTTCAGTATGTATTGTTCCTAACTCTTTCACTTAATCATTTATCATGAAGATTGGTTCATCTCATTACATCTAGACCTGTGTCAGTCCTTTGACGTGGCTGCATTGATGGTCCGCTGTAGGCCATGTCAGATTTGATTAAAACCAATCCCCTATGAGGGGATCTTTAGGTTGCTTGCTTTCTTTTGTTGCCACTATAAGCAATGATGCAAAGAATAGTGAGTTTTGCATATACTAGGGAGCTTCAAAAAGTTTTGAAGGAAATAAAATGAAAAGGTAATGAAATTTTCTCCCTCCTCTTTTTAAGCCACCTTGTTTTTTTAAAGGAATTTTTTATTGTTCACATACATACACAAGGAGATATATGTAATCATCTGCTATTTCTCACATG